GACATGCATCGTGAACAGGAAAATGGAATGTGCATTATTACTCTTGAGTTCAGCTAGGACATTTGATGTATGTAAATCCACTAGATGGTTGGAGATGCAGAAGCCCGGAGTGCGGCGCAGTCCAAGTGAGCCACATCTCGTGACATTGCAGCAGTGCCGGATATTGCCAAGAGCGACGACCATTGATGGTAGGTTGCAATTTGTGCACAATGCTGATACACAGAGTTCAGGTGGCGAGTTGTTCGAGATCACAGATTGCGGTGGACAGGGACACGTTGGAACTGCCGGAGCACCAGCCTAAATCCAGGGCAGCAGCGACCAGTCGAGATTTTGCAGGGTTGAGAGCTCAGAGTACTGTTTGCGTGGCGGTGGAGGAACCCAGTCCATAGCGGAGAATAAGATCCTGGAGCGATGATTTTGAGATTCGACGACCGATACAGCTGGAGGAATTCGAAGACAGGGACGGAATGGTGGCTGAAGATGGGTTCAGAGGAAGTTTATATGGGACAGCTGCCGAAAGCATACGTATGCACGGCGACGCCTGAATCCCCCGAGAAGATCCGTCCTGGTAGCAACTGCTGTGGAGACCAGGTGGGCCCGAGAACGCGCGTTCTCGCCGAGCTGATTCTCGGTCAATAATGGAGAGAAGGCACTGCACCACCTGCCATGAGACACGTCAACAGAACAGAGGAAACCCAACCGGTCATAGTTTTCCCAAGTTCAAGGCTGATACGCCGCACTCGGCACGCATACGTCGCATCGAGCCGGCGGTGCATCGCTCGAAAGGCTGTTGAACCGCGGCTTCGATATGAAAATGGAAGGAGATGCCGGTGGCGCTCGTGGGAGAAATTGATGAAAAAGCTGTTGAGAAAGGACTTCGCTGGCAGCAAGATGAGGGAGGAAGACAAAGAGGGCTTTGGGCAAATGGGGATTGAACAAACAGGTGCAATGACACTAGAGACATCTCGTTAAAGAACGGATAATCACGGGTCCTATTCCACTGGACTGAATTCCCCCTTTCATTAGTCAAATCTTCTCCACCGTTTGATCCCCCTGGCCGGAGTTTTATCTAAGTAAGTTTTCAACGTGCATTTTGGATTAGCAACCGCGGCCGTATATTAGACCCATGAGATGATTCCGCAGGTGTCCCGTTCAACTCGGGCTCAGGGTTTGACACAGCGCTGGAATTTCTTTCTGGCATTCGGCTCCCGTGGGAATAGATTCCTGTTTCGAGCTAGTCTCTCGTAGACAGACGCTATAACATATTGATCTCGTACCTCAATCAAGTTTCGAGCAACATCATTTTTTGCCATCAATCAACTCTGCCACGTGGGGAATTGCCCTTCTTCTCCCCACCACCTCGGTGCGTCCAGACTCCGCCTCTCTCATACGCTCTCCGTAGCAACCAGACTTCTTTCTGATTGTCTCCATGCGAGGAAAATGTCCGTCCAGCCCGTCCACTGGTATCCACTTGGCCTCCGCGTCTATTCCCCAACCAGATGACTTCGCTAGCTCGCCCATTCAATCCCGGACCCACACGGGGGGCCCAGTTCTACGCTTTGGTCATCTTTCCTGCGGTCAATTTCACTCGTGTCCTGATGCTGGCTGGGGCTCACGGGGCCCACGGCTCTACTCGGGCTACTCGCTTAGGTCGACCCCTATAAAAGTCGTGTCTTGCCGTGCGTTTCCTCACACCGACTTTCATGCGCGGATCTTCCCTTCTACCACTCGCCGCTCTTTGCTCCACATGCATCGCAGACGCAAATCCAAGCCTCAATATGGCTGTGCATGAGAGTATCGCTTCTGTTCCGCCGGGCTTCACTCCTGCTGCGACCGCGGTGTTTCCGTCACACGAGCTCACACTCCGTATCGCCCTCGCTCATACGGATATGGCTGGGCTCCACGCTAGGACATATGCCGTGTCTGATCCCGCTAATGCGCTGTACGGGAAGCATCTGACGACAGAGGAGGTGCGTTCTTGATCGTCACCGACTCGGATAACACTCATATCTCCAGGTTGCTGAATACGTCTCGCCGACGCCGGAGGCGCTCTCCGCTGTATCAGAATGGTTGTCCAATAACGGAATCGCCACGAAGAGTATCTCACCCGCAGGCGACCTACTCCAAATCAGCCTCGCAGTTAGCCACGCCGCGACGCTCTTCGACGCCGAGTTCAGAAACTACACCCACGTAGAGACCGGGCGGAGTGCCGTCCGCACATTGAATTACTCCCTCCCCGCCACACTCCGGCCGCACGTCCGATTTGTTCACCCGACGGTTGCGTTTACGATGCCGTTGCGTAAATCTGGTAGTGGCGTGAGTGTGGTAAGGAGCAGGAAACGTGTGGCGGATGTCGCCGCGTCGTGTGCTACGACAATGACGCCGTCATGTATTCAGTCAATGTACAGCATCCCAACGACCAAGTCAACTTCTGTGAACAACATTCTTGGTGTTAGCGGATACCTCGATGTGCGTGGTTCCTCATCTTTTCTTTCATTGCTGAGATAACTTAGGAATGGGTTAACTCTCAAGATTTGAGAGTCAGCACGACTGTATCTTGTTTCGTCTCATACTAACGGAGTACACAGGCCTTCCTCACCACCAACCGGCCTGCCCTCATCAACTCCACATTCAACCTCCAACTCGTCGACGGCGGGCAGAACCTCCAATCCATCTTTGACGCCGGCGATGAAGCGAATTTGGATGTTCAATACAGCCTCAGCCTCGCTACGGGTGTGCCAGTCAACTTTTACTCGGTCGGAATCTCGACGAACGACGACGTCGAGGGCTTCATTGATGTCGTGAATTTCATTCTGGCTGCGGACAAAAGACCCACCGTGTTCTCGACGAGCTATGGATTCTCGGAGAGCAATATGCCGATAAATCTTGCTGTGTGCGTCGTATTAGTGCATCATGGATGGGCGTTGACTGATAATGTTGTAGCGCGATCTGTGATGCGTACACGCAACTCGCGGCAGTGGGTATTTCCTCCCTCTTTGCATCCGGTGACGGCGGCGTCAGCGGCATGCAATCCACGACAACTTGCCCACAAAACCAATTTAACCCCACCCTCCCCAGTACCTGCCCCTTCGTCACCTCCATCGGTGGAACAACAGGGCTTCCCCCCGCACAAGTGGTGGCGTACAACGGCTCGAGCGGCGGGTTCTCGAATTACTTCCCCACCCCGGATTATCAAGCTCAGGACGTCAAAGCGTATGTGGCTTCTATGGGCGGGACATATGCGGGAATGTATAATGCGACTGGGAGGGGGTTCCCGGATGTTGCGGCGCATGCTGCGGATGTGCAGATTCATTGGCGTGAGTTTGGTTTATTTCTTTGGTACCGGTACTGATCGAACGAATGTAGGAGGCAACGTCAGTTCACTCTCTGGCATGCGATAAAGGGTCTTGTACTGACTTTTGTTCCAGTTCGAGACTGTCACTGGCACGAGCTGTGCAACCCCCATCTTCGCTAGCATCATAGCGCTGGTAAACGACCGACTCATTGCAGCGGGAAAGCCCGTCCTCGGCTTCCTCAATCCGTTTTTGTATAGTGCGGCGGGAAGGGCTGCGTTTACAGATGTTACAGAGGGCAATAATCCGGGATGTAACACAGCGTGCGTTCTTTTCTTTCGAATTCCTAATCTAATGAGATGCTTCTTTTATCAGCGGGTTCTCTGCTTCAAAGGGTTGGGATCCCGTGACTGGTTTGGGGACGCCGGATTTCGGGCGTTTGATTTCTGCTGTGGGGCTTTGATGCCAGCAAATTTCATGACTTTGCATTCATTCATGATGATGATGAAGTAAACTGATTCGAGCTGTTGAACAACAACCAGCGGGCAGAGACGAAAAATGCATGTGACACGGTCATAACGCTGCCTCGAATCGAACAAGGCGCCGTCCAATGAATGTTCGACAGGTTACATTTCAATGTCCACCAATTGTAGGACCTCGCCATTCATTGACTGACTTGAAATCCGCTTGAGTGTTTGCAACAAAACCTTTAGGCATCGAAGTTGTAGCCCGGCCTTTAGGATACACTCTCCCCCCTATCTCTCTCTCTCTTGCGATGGAGGTCAAGAATCCCCGAGCGAAAAACTAATAACAAAATCGGACAAAAAGAACACACAGAACCTACAAAATACGCCTCTGGCTCGATTCGAACGAGGCACCGTGCAAACATCATGGAGAGCAAGTCGAGCCTCGGAGACGCGATAATTGGGATGAATCGTAGTGCGCCTTTCTCGACAGTGTTTTCAGCGCATGATCTTGTGGTTATTATGTACCTCGTACTCTTATGATTCCTGCATTTGGTTCTGGAATCACAGAAACTCGCTTAATTGCTACAGTCCCGTTGGTGCCGCACAATTGTTGGAGCATGAGGCAGATGAATGGCTCCCGTGGTGGAGCGAAGCGTACTAGTAGCTTCATGGTAAAAACAGCTCGAACTACAAATGCCCACTAGCCGATTCGAACGACTGATCTCTCATCCACAGGCCTATGTACGAGATAAGAGATGGGTTATGTAGATTGCTGTGGTTCGGGGGTTGACAAGGGGGTTGGCAGCGCAGGTTGATCATGGTTGGAGCGCAGGATGGTTTCAATTTGAGTATTCCAGGGATCTCGGAGTTGCAGGGTGGCTGCCAAATTACAAAGGCCAAGACAAAAAAGAGCGACTGCCACGGGTAAGCCCACTAGCCGAATCGAACGAATGATCTCTTCATCGCAACACAGGCGTAGGGAAGAGGTACGATATGGGTTAATTGTTGCGTAGATGTATTGTTGTGGTTCGGTGTCTTCAGATCTCAACGATTGACAAGGCATTTTGGGAGGTTCGAAGCGCCGATCAGTAGCCGTTTAGTCGTTGAGTTGAGTCTTGACTCGCTTGAGGATTTCAGAACGTTGAAGCGCAGGATTGTTCCAATTGGAGTCGCCAGAAACCTGAGAGCTGCGTAGATACAGGGGGGCGAGGCCAAAAAGAGTCCAATTGTCCGACACGCATGCCCACTAGCCGATTCGAACGACTGATCTTATCATCGCATACCCGAGGACCTTTAGACGAGTGATACGCTTTACCCCTGAGCCAAGCGGGCAATGGACAGTTGCGAAATCTTGGAATAGTCAATGGGAGACATCTAATTTTCGGGTGAAAGAAACGCTAACGAAAGATCACGAGGCGACGCATCTCTTCTCTTCTCAGAAAAGCGGGTTGAGGTTGAGGAGGCTGTCGGCAAGAAACAGGAATAAGTAGTAGCGTAATTGGGTGGGCAAGCATGTGGATGCAGACTTCCAATGGAAAGAGGATGCTGCCGATGCAACTGAGGGTATAAAAGATTCGCGAAGAGAGGTTTATCGCCCACTTGCAGATCCGGTCCTGGGAACTTGAAGATGAGAATGGGTCCGAGTGGATATCGGAGAAGGAAGTGAAATTTGAGTGCTATATCCGATGCGGAGTCCAGAATCTGTCGGCACAGGGCGTGCGCCTTCTTAGGAGCTGAGGTTCATGAGAGAGACACGAGTCACGGACGACGGCGACGAGGGATCATGAGGCGGCGTAGGTCAAGTTCAGTTAAAAAAGGTCGACTGGAAGGGCTGTAGATGAATATGATTCCCCCGTGAATAACTTGAAGGATGGGTCCGATGTAATGAGGAAGGACGCTCACAGTCCACTTGCAGATCCGGTCGATGAGAACCATGACGGTGACTGGTCGAGCACATACACATGGAATCCGATCGAGAAACGTTTAACGAGTCACGGAGAACAGTGTAGTACCGACAAATCTTCGAGTCGGCGCATGCGCAGTTAAAGGTGGCTCGAAATGGACGTCTACGAGAGAAGACCACAGAGTGATTCGGATTCGGTCGAATCTTCCAGAACTTGAAGTATTGCAATTGCAATTGCGTACATATTCGGCGGACGTCCACGCAAGTCGGAGCCGGAAACGAGATGAGCTATGACATGCATGACACGGGATAATTCAAAGCACTAAGGGAGGTCCGAAGGAAGAAGCCGCCGCCGACGGATTGATTCGTGTCCCCGACAGGCAGTTTTGTCGATGTTGCTGACATTTGTCCGAGATGGGAGATGCCGCGTAGCCGCCTGAACCCGCCCGACATCTTCCGGAGTTTTTTCCCTGCAAAAAAACTACCCTGCTACCTAGGAATAAGGCAAAGGAAATGGGACCGGAGGGTGCTGTGGCATGGCTTCGGACGGAGAGCGCTGACCAACAACTGACCAACGAGAAGAAGAGCGATGACAGATCATGGGCTTCGGGAATTCCGAAAACGGGCTTACACACGTACCGCTTCATAATCCTTTCTCTCCGCGCCGTGACTCAGAAACATTCCGTCTACCGGACACGTTTATAAAACACAGTGCTCATGGCCGTCCTAGTCACTCACCGACAAGCCTCCCGCAGTCCCAGCGATGTACTCTCCGGCGTCTGACTCGTCCTCTGCCTCCTCGAGCACCTCCCCCTCTTACAGCTCCTGGAGTCCCAGCAGCAGCAAGACTAACAGCCCTGTGCATGCTGCCTCTCTCGTAGACCCAGCCACGCACTCTCCCGAGCTCCTCGAGCTCGTCGACGTCGAGGTCTCACAGCCCGTTATCGGTATGCATCTATCGCCTCTCTCTGCCCAGCGCCTTCGCTAACACCCACCCAGCCTACCTGGTCTCCCGGATCTCCTCCACCGTCTCCTACTCCCTCAAACGCTCCGGCGTCTCCCCATCCTTCACCCGCACACCCGCCCATCTCCAAAAATTCACCACCTTCGTGACGACCGTGCTCTCCCGCGCAGAGGTCTCCGCCACTGACGTCCTCGTCACCCTCGTCTACCTCACCCGTGCACGTCATCACCTCACCATCGCGCTGGAAGAGTGGGCCCTGGAACGCGTATTCCTCGGTGCCTTGATCTGTGCGTCAAAGTACACGAATGATAGTACCCTCCGCAATGTCCATTGGGCTCTGTGTACGGGTGTATTCGGCAAACGTGATATCGGTCGGATCGAGAGGGAGTTTCTCGAGGTGCTGGATTGGGATTTGGGCGTGAGTGCGGAAGATGTACTTGCTCATCGGGAGGGGATCCTGTTGTCGGCCGAGGGTGTTCCCCTCGTCAAGGCGCAACCCGTTCGTCGGGCCTCCTCGTCTTCGTCTTCGTCACCCTCCCCGGTCGGCTGCCCCGACCTCGAGCCCTCCTCCCCACATTCGAGTATCGGCAGCCTCTCCCCGCCCACACCCATCTCACACTCGACTTTCCCCGATCCGGAGGACGTGCCCATGGACGTGGACGAGTATCACCGCTCTCCCGTCCTCGTCTCCAACCCCGCCTCAAGGAAGGCGGCGCATGGACATGGGCATGGGCGGATACACACCTTCCTGCACTCCCTCCCTATACCCCGACATCATCACCAGCATCATCAGGCTGCTGTGCGTGTCGCGGCATAGGCGGTGGGGCTGGCCGTCGTTGGCGGCTTTCCCTATCTCTCCACTGAATCGCATATGTCGATCACGTCGGACACTGCGCCCCTTCGCCTACGGGCATGCAGGGGTCGGCCTCCGCGGCGCGCCGAAAGGCCCGTGTACACTACCACTTCGTACTTCGTTTATAATCCAAGTGTGTACTAAGTACTTCAAAATGTACCGAGTCTGATTAACTAGTTCTGCATCGCTGCCATGAATTGAATTGAATATCCTATGCATCACGACCTCGTGAGTCTTGAACAATTCTTGAATAGACTCACAGCGAGGTAAGGCATCTTGGGAATTTTAAATGCTTCCAATTCGTACAGTCGTCGTCTGTGATTAACCTCAAGGTTCAGACTGGCGCGCGCATGCATGGCGCTAGCGCGTTTATTTCTCGCACAATGTGAGCGGGATCTTCTGGCTTGTCAATGGCAGTCACGGTCTCCGCTCGTGGACGGAAAATCGAAACTATAGTCGGATTCTCCGGATCTGGATTTACGAGACTGTCTTCAGGTTCATGCAACACTACTGGAGAGGCTGTATGGAGCCGACACTTGGACTACGAGTAGCTAGTCATTGACACATTGTCCTCCGATTCTTCGCGGTCTGTCTCCTGCTTCAGCGCGAGTAGTCCCGTCGTCTTTGCGGAGCTAGTTGACCCCCGTTTTCCATGGCCAGCAACCGCCTCGTCAACTCCGAATTATCCCGAATTCGAGCCCATTCGGTTCTGTGCACGGCAAGATGTCCAAGCAACTCGTCCCGCGTCGCAGACATTTCTGAGTCCTTCACCAGCTCCGGCTTTGAGATAGTGTCAGCAGCACCGGGCGTGTTAAAGATGGCTTCTGCACCCAGCTTCCACTGGGCGATTTTGAGCAATGCCAGTAGCGGTTTTTTTCGGGCCATCGCTACTAGTGATCAACATTAGCGTTATCGACCTGATATTTTGAGACTTCTCACTGGATGAGGTGCACAAGCTTGGGAATCGGGTTCGCCGCTAACACTTTGCCTAAGAGAGTCTTATGGCGCGACAAGTGTGCGATCAAGGAGCAGGAGTTGTTTCGGACGTAGAGGTAGGGTGAGTCAAGCAGCTCAACCGCAAACTTCAACGGTAGAGCATAGGACGCCACGATGAATTCTGCGCCGCGGAACCAGAAAGCTAAAAGGGTCAGTAATTTGAGCGCTTCCCCGACCATGTCTTTACCCTTGTCGCTATTGGCCGGCGGAGCATGATCAATAAAGAACGGCGGTAAGACTTGCAACTCACTGTAGCATCAATTCCAACTTTTCGACAATTTGAGGCCATACATTGGCCCGTGCCACGAACGAGGAGTGAAATGTCAACTTTGTAATCCACATCATCGTTGTCAATCGTATATCCGCGTTCGATGATTCGAGAAGATGCGGGATTTCAGAAAACACGGAGGAAGAGACTATACTCTGTGCGCCGCCAATTTCGGATGCCATCTCCGTTAGGAGGTCCAGGATTATAACCTGTGGCCCGCTATCTGCATCTTTGGATCTGGCGATGTTTATTAAATAAAGTGGTACACCAGAAGATGGCTGAACGCACTGAAGGTAGGAAGTGCAGATATTTAGTATGAGGATCGCATCAACTGGGTCCGTATCAGCGAGTTAGTCCGTGTCGACCGCACCGCGACTTTCAAGTGCCCAGCTAGCTATCTGGAGTAGCACACGGACCGCCGATCCGACCAGGGTTGTATCTCCGTCACAATCACTATTGGCCGGCGAAATTGATAAGTCAGTCTTGCCCTAATACAATCCGTTTGTGAAACTCACCGGAGTAGCCATTCCAGCTTTTCAACGATTCGGTTCAATTCATTGATTGGTGCCACACCCGAGGTGCGGTCTGCTAAGGTTGCAATTAACCCGGCCGATTGCACTTGTATGTGCGCCTTTGCTGACTCCAGGAGCTGCGTGATTTCGTAAAATACGGAGGAATGGACTATGGTCCGGGCTTCCTGTCTGTCCCATTCTGCCCTAGAGGTCAGGTACGACAAGACTCTGAGCTTGGTTCTGCTGGCCACATATTTGCACCTGGGTAAGATTATCACATAGTAGATCGGCAGCCAAGATAAATGTACGCACTCAAGATACGACGAAAATATGTCCAACATCGCCTCGGTGAGTGGTTCATCGTTGTTGATATATTCGAGAGCTTGACGATGGTACATGAACCGAAGAAGTGGTTTGGTCATGGTGTGCAGATTGACTGTGGCGCCGTTGAGCCCGGGATTGCTGTCTGACCACCAGCTGAGGAGGCTGACTTGCGACTGGTTTGCGAGGTCCAAGGACTGCATGGGGGAGAGCGAGCTGGGAGACGGGAAGACAGAGGGATGCACGCACAGCCTTGGTAACAGCAGTGGAAAGGTGGTCTACATAGGTGCTGTCAAGTCTGCGGGAAGACGGTCTTTCGAGAAGGTTTCAAGGAGTGGAATGTTCCATGCATAGCTTACGCTTGTTCCTGAGACCGAACCGTGCCTCTGGCGCAGATTAATAACAGACCAGCGCTCCTTTGCTGCAGACCTGGGTTTCTTGTTGCCGGAAGCGGTATGCTGTACCAGTATGCCACCACCGATGAATTTGGGGAACGAGAAATGCCGCAGGCCTTG